TTTTGGGGTCTTTTTCTTATATAGGCTCCTATTACCTCCCACCCCCATCCCGATTTTTCACACTTGCTGTCTGGTCACCCTAGGGGGAATCCGGACGAATGGTAACCCTACCTTTGCCATAGAATATCCTAAGGGAACATGGTGGTGTGAATAACCTATCAGAAAATATCCTCCATTGTTTGTTATCAGGCATTTTTATGTGTACTTTAGCTACCTAATAAGGAAAAATCACCAACAAATATACAAACAGGAAAACCTGATAAAATTAAAAGCAACAATTTGTTACCAGTAACTGTCTTTAAACAATTCTTTAACAACATCTCCACAATTACCGGGGCTTTGATTTAAATCAAATCCAGTTTGTAGACATTTTGGCTGCAGGTCAGTATCACCAACTTCAAGAGTTTAAAAATCATAAATGAGATCTCCCCAAAATCATGGTGTTGGCTTAAAAATCATGAGTTTCTTTTAAACTAATGAAGGGGTGGGGGAGGATTGTTTGCTTTCTGGTTTCTGAGACTTTAGTGTGCACTTGCTTCAAATTTTAAAGGTTTTTTCGGTAGCCATAAGGGCTAGAAACTTACTTTTTTTTTTAATAAAAGCTGAGATTCCCAACAACTAGGTGGTCAGGAGGAAGCTAATATGAACACCAAATATCACAAGACTCGTGATAAAATCGCAAGGGTTGACAACACTGCTAGAGTTAGAGTTAAGTTTTGAAGTTCACTGAGGGGGTGTAAAAGGGCGTGAACCAATTGGGGGAATATGAACCAGTTGTTTTGGATTTCAACAGACAAACCAGTTGTCCTGTCAGTCATGAAATTAAATGGGTGTTCTAGGATTACTTCAAAGGTTGGCAGATGAGACATGGAAAGATCATACCTCTGAAAATTGGCTGCTCCACTAAGGAGATCTTTTTACTGAGTCTCTGCCATGTTCACCTCGCACAGAAAGAATATTTTTCATAGCCAGAAAATTGTCGTTAATTATTTGATATAGTAAAAGATACCTTAACATGCTTTTCCAGGTTGTATTTCCCCTGTATCTGCCAATGAGGGTAAGATTTATGTTTCTGTTTGCTCTTATTTCTAATAATTTTTTTCTTTATCTATTAAAGAATTACAAATAATTTCACTCAAATCTTTTCTGTTCTTAATTATTTCATTTCTTACTATCTTATTGTCCTGATGTCCTGTTGGAGCAGAAGAACTATTCCATTGATACATCCATAGAAACCGATAGATCAAAATTGGGTTCAGAACTCCCTATGGGAGAATACTATACAATTGGTTGTCTGGCTTTTTCAATGGCCTAGCAGGTTATTAGCGAGGCTCTTGTTTTCAGCCTTTAGTACAGTGGCTTTGCTATATGCACTGCTACAGGTTGGGGACCGACTGACTAAATGGCAGTTCTGCAGAAAAGGATCTGGGGATTACAGTGGACAAGAAGCTGGATATGAGTCAACAGTGTGCCCTTGTTGCCAAGCAGGCTAACGGCATATCGGGCTGCATTAGTAGGAGCATAGCCAGCAGATCAAGGGAAGTTATTACTCCCCTCTATTCAGCACTGGTGAGGCCACATCTGGAGTACTGTGTCCAGTTTTGCCCCCCCCCACTACAGAAAGGATGTGGACAAATTGGAGAGATAGTCCAGCGGAGGGTAACGAAAATTATTAGGGGGCTGGGGCACATGACTTATGAGGAGAGGCTGAGGGAACGGGGCTTATTTAGGCTGCAGAAGAGAAGAGTGAGGGGGGATTTGATAGCAGCCTTCAACTACCTGAAGGGTGTTTCCAAGGACATAAGAACATAAGAAAGGCCGTACCGGGTTAGACCAAAGGTCCATCTAGCCCAGTATCCTGTCTACCGACAGTGGCCAATGCCAGGTGCCCCAGAGGGAGTGAACCTAACAGGCTAGGACTTTTCCTTATCCACTTTCTCCACATCACTCATGATTTTATATACCTCTATCATATCCCCCCTTAGTCTCCTCTTTTCCAAGCTGAAGAGTCCTAGCCTCTTTAATCTCTCCTCATATGGGACCCGTTCCAAACCCTTAATCATTTTAGTTGCCCTTTTCTGAACCTTTTCTAGTGCTAGTATAGGATGCAGCTCGGCTGTTCTCAGTGGTGGCAGATGACAGAACAAGGAGCAATGGTCTCAAGTTCCAGTGGGGGAGGTCTAGGTTGGATATTAGGAAAAACTATTTCACTAGGAGAGTGCTGAAGCACTGGAATGGGTTACTTAGGGACAGAGCTGTCCCTTGGGTAGGGCGAATAGGGGCGACTGCTCTGGGCCCCACGCTTTGGGGGGCCCCACGGGCCAGTGCGATTGGCCAGCCACCCCAAGCCCTGCATTACCCTCGGGACGGCCCTGCCTAGGGAGGTGGTGGAATCTCCATTTTTATAGGTTTTTAAGGCCCGGCTTGACAAAGCCCTGGCTGGTATGATTTAGTTGGAGTTGGTCCTACTTTGAGCAGGGGGTTGGACTAGATGACCTCCTGAGGTCTATTCTCATTGGCATACAGGTGATATGCAACAGAGGAAGAGTGAGTGTGAAATGGAAGTCATTACACCCTGATTCTGACTGACTGTGGTATACAATTTTCAAGATCATATGCTATGGCTATCGTGCAAGTGAATTTTTTCATTTCTTCCATTATTCTCAGAGAAGTATATTGATTTTCACATTAGAATATACAACATAGTCAATCTTGGAATCAATGTGACAAGTTCTGCAAGCTATGAAATGAAAGTAACACAGCAGTATCTTATATGCCTGACCTCAGCCGTGGACATCTGCATGATTCTGATATCAGCAGTTTACTACCAAGAACGGTTTGCAGCAGTAACAGAAAAATGTAAACAGGTTCATATTTCTGCAACTCAGGATGACGGGGCAATGCTTAAATATGTTATGTTGAACCTTTTTTTATGTAGAAATAGTTACCTTGATTTTCTATCCTTAATAAAAGCTCGCAAAAAACTGCACAACTATTTAATTATATTGTATTATGAAATTCAAGTTTTTATACATGGAATTCTACAGATAGGCATTTAAGAGCCAGATTCTGCTAAATTTTATTCAAGCAAAATCCAACTGCTTTAGCCTGAGTAAGGAAAGCAGGATCAGGCCAAAATATTTTATTATTGAAAAAAGAGCATCACTCTTATTGGATCTGAAACCACTTGATAAATGGTGGGTTGACACTATAGGCCCCTATTCAGGAAAGCACTTAAAATCCATCCTGATTCAAGCCAACATTTGATTAAGTGCTGTCCTGAATAGGGCTATGATGCTGAATTGGGACTATAATGACTAGATTAAAGCTTTAGAGAAATATCTCTGTTGTTATTAACAAACATTTATGGCACAGAAAATCCATGCAAAAGTAGGTCTAGGGAAGGATACCTCAGTGAGGATCTTCCCTCCCTGGAAAACACTACAGACCCTATCCCCAAACCTAGCAGATCCCCCCAGATCTGCTGGAGTCTGGCACCATCCCGGCCACTTTTGGATCCATCAGGGATGGTCTGGACCTGAATAATTATTAAGAAGACTATTGTTGTGAATAATATTAAGCCAGTATTTAACATTTGTGATAGACCCAGGCCAGTTGGGTATAGCAGAAGGCAGATATACTGGCCACTGGATTAACAGTTTTCTGTTCCCTGACTGACCAGAGCAGGGGCTGCTCCAGGTTAATGAGAACACCTGACTCCAATTAACCTGCAAAGAGTCAGGTGAGGCCATTAAGCTAATGTGACCACCTGACTCTAATTAAGGCCCACTGATACTATAAAAAGGGCTCACTCCAGTCAGGCAGAGGAAAGCAAGTGCAGCCGAAGGACTGGTTAATGAAGACACCATCAAGTTATTGATAAGGGAGCCCTAAGGTAAGGGAGAAGCAGGAGAGCTGTGGGGAAGTAGCCCAGGGAAATGTAGCAACTCTGGCAGTGAAAGGTTGGCTGCCAACAGCTGCTACCATTAGGGTCCCTGGGCTGGAACCTGGAGTAGAGGGTGGGCCTGGGTTCCCCCCAACCCACCACTACAGGAATGCTTCCTGGGAGGGGAAGTCAGGCCCCTGTCAGGACAGGAGGCTAAACTGCCCTAAAACAAGCCCTAGGGACAACAGAGACTGTGGGAATTCTCTCACCAACCTCCTTGCTGGCTTATGATGAAAAGGGCTCAGTAGACTGTAACCCTGGCCCTAGAGAGAGAAGGGCTATGTGGAGGGTCACAGAGAGCCACTGAGGCTAGCATATACCGCCTAGAAGCGCAGGACCCACGGGGACAAGGTCAGAGCTCTGCCACACACTATAATTAACACATCAAAATATTAGAACTGCTTGTATTATTTATTTTACATCCCCCAAAAGTACCAAGACCAACATCTTAAAAATGAATGCCTGAAGTTGGGTTCCTAATCCATATTTAGGCACCCGAAAAGTGGCCTGGATTTTCAAAAGTGAAGAGCACCCCGCTGCTCTCATTGAATTCAAAGGCAGAGTTTGGCTGAGGAGTTTTAATGTGGCAGACTCCTTTTGCCAACATTTTTACAAATAAAAGGGTCTGGCTTTTAAAATCTTATCTGAGTCTTACAGTACATAAACTTAACATATTCACTGAATCAAAACAGTAAGGGTAAATAAACTGAAAACCTCTTCCTTTTCTTCCAACCCTCTCTCTCTTTTTTTAACCATTTCTCATGTCATGAGATCAGGTGACTCACTAAAATCTGATTATAAAGTATTACGAACTCCCTTACTCGATGTATATAAACTCCCGAGTGTAAGGCAGAAATTCTTGTGGTGAAGTAAAGCGCAGACCTCATCCCAGAATTAGCTACTACAGGCACCACCAATTTATTTTTGAAGACAAGATCCTGCAGTTAGAAGAACATGGCAAGTCTGAACTGGCGTTATCAAGGCAACAATGGTAAGAATAACTTGCCTTAATAGCAAACTAATTGAACTGACCAAGATGGGATCTTCTTTTTTTTTTTTTTGATAAAAGGTGACATAAATCAGTGATCAAACCATATAGAATGATATATTTCTTGCTATTTTAAAGAGGTCTAATCTATTATTTTTATAGCTATACAAGAAGAAAACACCACAATTCAATATTAAAATATAAAACCTAAAGTAGCAATTAAGAATTAAATGAGACATAAATTTGTCTGTCTAGGACCTGACCAGTGGCACAAATTATACCCTATTGCCAATGGAAACTATCAGTCCCCTATTGACATTAAAACCAAGGACATCAAAAAAGATCCAGCTCTGGGGCATCTCCAGATCTCCTGGAATTTGAGCACCTGCAAAGAGATTGTCAACGTTGGACACTCCTTCCATGTGAACTTTGAGGACAAGGATAACCGATCAGGTTAGTGAGCAGAGTTTTTTGTTGTTGTTGTTGTTGTTTGATTTTAAACATTTTTTTCTGACCCTTGACTAGAAACAAAGGCAAATGGACTTTCAGCAGCATAAATACCAATTCAAATGTGCTCACTGATTTAGCATGCTATACCATGTGATGATATAACTTTACACTCCATGCAAGATCTGAAATACGTCATTTTAAAATTAGGATTTGTTGGCAAGTGTTCCATTGTTACAAGCAAATTTAAAATTGGCCATATTTACTGGACATTTCCAGGTAGTAAAATATCCACAATCTTGACTGTTTTCTGGTGGGTTTCCTATCAACAATTCTCTACTCAGATATGAGTTACAGATTTAGCTTTGCTTTAAAAAGAGACTGTGAGGCACTGTTTGCTTGTTCTGATTTGCAAATACTACTACTATCCCCTGCATGAATCTTCAGACAAGTCATTCTTAGTGTGATGGTTAAGCAAATGCAGACCCTATCTGCCAGTAGGACTGAATACACCTTTCAATGTTAGAAATGTATGTATCGTTGATGGTAGCCTACAACATCACTAACAAGAACATCTAAGCTTAGCTGTAAAATATTATGGGAAAAACTAATATACTAGACTCAGAATATCTTGTACACATTACTGGTTTTTCTTGTGCAGAAAGGCAATTTTAAGATCTAGTATTGTGTCCTCTAGTGGTGGATCCTCTCCTGCCCTAGGAAGGGAATGAACTCAGTGATCGAACAGGTAGTTTCCATCTGTCACTCTTGGAATCCTAATCCTGTATCTAATAAACGGCTGCTACTGTATGTTTTCCTGTCTTTTGTTTCCTCGTTTAAGTAACTAATAGTCTCTGGTCATGTTGAGTTGACATAAATTTTAGGGCTGAATTTGACAGGCATGCTGATTTACTGTAACTAAGCCATAATACGTACATATCAAGATTTTTATTTCGAAGAGCTTCTATGCACACTTATTTTTTTAAATTTACAAATGAAAATTACATGTTAAAATAAACTAATAGATTTAATATTATAATTGTCTACATGTAGTTAGGGAAGTTTGGGGATGTTATGATGCCTGTGCTGGTCTCTGAACTTGATTTTAACAAGTTATTTCATTTCTGTGCAGTGGTGACCGGTGGACCTCTGACTGGAAACTACAGGCTGCATCAGTTTCACTTTCACTGGGGCCAGGCTGATGATCATGGCTCTGAACACACTGTGGATGGAGCAAAATATGCCTCAGAGGTAGAGTCAATGAAACAAAAGTAAAGGTCCCATTTTCAAAGCTTGAGTCATAAATGTCCCCCTCAAAGGATATGCACATGTAAATCCTCATACAACATCTGTATCTATGTTTACTGCTTGGATAGTTACATCTGTTTGCACAAGCAACAACCTGCTCTGCCTGTGCAAAGGGGATTTTGCAGGAGAAAGTTAGGACTTGAAGCCAACATTTTCAAACTTGGTTGCCTGAATTTACTTCACCTAAATCCATATTTAAGCACCAAAAGAGAGCCCAATGCTTCAAACATGTGTGTGCACTCTTGTGAGTAGTCCTATTGGCATTAATGGAGCTAACTACTCACATGCGTAACCCTTTACAGAATCAGAAGCTTGCTGCTTTGCAGAGGGCCTGATCACCCCTAGCCACCATTGAAGACAGTGGAAGTTGAAGATATTCAGCACCTTGTAGTATCAATGCTTGTTGCTGGAATGTAGCTTTCTGTTGCTTCTTAAGGAGAATAGCAATGAGAGGGCAAAGCTGGAAGAAAATAATGGAAGGAAAGGTTGTTAACTGAGACTCACTTTTCAAGAAATGAAAGCCACTCCTGAACTGACTGCTTTTGTTTGCTTTTCATTATCAACATACCAAGAACAATTTAGTCAATGTTATTTTTGGCTAATCTTTTAGATTTTAGACCATTATTACATGTGAATCTAATGAGATGGACTGGCGTATTTGTCTGTAATTTAGGCAGTGCCTCTCACAACCAACAGGCTCTTCCTATTAGGAAATTTTCCACCGTTGATGGTGCTAGAGCTATCTAATTTATGCAGCCAAGATATGAAAGGGGCCTCCCTTTAGAACGGCTTCCTGCTATAATTAGATAGTGAACTTGGACTGCATTTGAACAACACTGGAAAAAAAAAATGTATTACAGATCAGTTTGCATCAGCCACTTAAAATAGTTTTAAAAAATGAAGCTGTTGCAGTTGAAAGACTTCCATTTAGCTTAAACATAGCTGGGAAAATCTTTCCCGTTTTTACTTCTTTAAACCACAGTCTTTAAAAATTGTGTGCACTGCATGATGATTTCTGCAATGTGCCCCTGCTTTTAGTGATCTTCCATTGCCATTTTAATAAGCTGTACCGCTTTTGGTGATCTATTGATGAAAATTCTATACCAATAAAACTAGATTAGACTGCTAAAATTACATAGTTGCTAACTTGAGGAACTTCCAAATGTTTCTAAATATTAATAATTTCTAAAATTTCAGGTGAATTAAGAACCTCAGCATATGATTTCCAGGACTTCCAGATTTCTAAATATATTGTCATCATGTGTAAGGTGTAACACTCAATAATAAGATACAATAGGCAAAAACATTAGTGTTAAACAAAAGTACCATGCCCTTTTACAGCTGATATGTAAAGGAAAAGCCACTGAAATATCTACTTCTAGTATGTACTGTCCTCTAGATATGCCTGCTCATATCACAGGCATAGGGCCTGTAACTGTTAATCACACCACTAACTCTATTGCAATCAATAGGATACTCCTCTGAGTATCTCCTGTATGACTAAGGGTTGCATCCCAGAAAGTAGTATTTCCAAGAATAAAATTTAAAGAAAAATAGTAATAATGGCATCCTCAGCAGATAGCTAGAGGCTGGATTAGAAAAGTACTCTTTCTATTTGGGGGGTACATATATTTATATGCCCACTATATTTTACAGGAAAAGCCTGTAGCTCTGCAGCCTTCCATTTAAGGTCACAAGCCTTTAGTTAAAAGCATATGAACAAAGTGCAAAGTGAAGTCAGTGGTGCTCCATGATGGAGCAGTAGTTCATGTGTACACTGTCAATTGCAGCATCAAGCCCTAAGAATGTAGCTTTGGTTTGTCTCTAATGTTGTTGGCTTTAGTAACTGTTCCTCTGTCAATTGCTTTTTAGCTTCACCTGGTTCACTGGAATTCAGACAAATATTCAAGTTTTGCTGAGGCTTCAGATAAGCCTGATGGTTTGTCAATCATTGCTGTTTTTCTGAAGGTCAGTTACACAAGATAGTGAAACCCCTTTTTTACCTCTTTTGTTTCCCCTTTTACAAATTGTTGTATTATCCTATCCACAAACCAGAATCCATTCAGTAAAGGAGACTAGACAAAGCAACATTATCTGTATTTAGAGATACACATCTCTGTTGACTTGTCTTAGATTTCAGTAGTCTGATTATTTTTTCAATCTCAAATAGTGAAATGGTCAAGTCATTATTAAACTCCTTTTTATCATGCTACCTCTGTAGGATACAAAACAATTTTATATTGCTTAATCTTTGAATGGATTGTCTCTGGTTTTGTGTGTCAAAATGTTTGGCCTACTCCCAATTAATTACTATTGTTTTACTTTAGTTATAAATATCTGACAATAGTTTTTATTGTAAAGTTACACAAGACACATCTAAATTATTGCAGTATGTTATTGTTTTCCAAAATGTTCCCTTCCAGAGCATGGGAAGACATTGTTGTATTGAAGTGTGTGGCTTAAATTGAACGGAACTAATTCACACAGTTAATCTAAAAAAATAACTGAGCCAATGTTGTATTCAGCTTATATGGGAGAAGGCATCAGAAAACCAAGGTTCTTTTCCCAGCTCTACCACAAACTTTTTATGTCACCTTGAAGAAAATCTCTAAATCCCTGTGAAAAGGGATACAATCCTACTTAGTAGAGCTAACAGAATTTACTTTGGTCAAATTCTCGCCCTTTTGTGTTTCCTTTTCACACAGACTTGTGTGATCAACTTTTACGACATGAACTTTCATGGAAAGTAACTTTCAAAGTCACATGTGCAAGTATTACTGGAAAACAAACATTAAACTCACATGCATAGGCATCCATGCCTGAAGTGCAGAAGCAATACCATGTGACTTATCTGGTCACTCACAACCAATTAACACAGCTTAAATACTGAATACCCAATAAAGAACAGTTCACAAAAAAATAAATTAGCAAAAACATTTTATTGAATACTTTCAAAGAGAATAAATTTGAGGCAATCACAATAACAAGAGGTTATGCTTGTCAGATACATTATTAATTACAGTCTAGATTCTGACACCGTTACTCACGTTGAGTAGTAGCTTATTCTACCAAGTAGCTCCACTCATTTCATTGGCACTACTTGGGGAGTAAAGTATTTCTTACTCCACACAAATAAAGGTCAGTCTGATTTTATGAATGATTTGCTTAGCTCTAAATCTTAGCTACTTTATAGTGGGGTTGTGAGGCCAAACTAATTTATATTTCTAAACCCTATTCAGATCTTGGAGTAGAAGGTTCAATGTTAATATAAATTGTTATGTTTATGATTCAACAGTTTTCTCACTATGTTTCTGTTTGCAGGTTGGTCCCCCTAATGAACATGTGCAGGACATTGTGAAGGCATTAGGTTCGATAAAGACTAAGGTAAACATCACTGCATGCTCCCAATACTTTAGAGTAGGGAATTGATTTAGAATCTAGTGAGTTCACTCTCGAAATTCTCAGTTGTGCTCCTTACCTTATGCCAGTTTGAAATGTGAGATTGCATTGCATAGCAGTTCCATCTGTATACTTGTTATAGAAATCCAGGGTTCAAGCTGCTCATGTAGGGGCAATATTGAACGTCCAGTTTAAATTGCCTTTCTGAGTCTAGAAGTAGATATACACATGACCTTTATAAAAGTGCAAATGAATAATTTATAGTCTTAATGCTCAGCACTTAAGCTGCCAAGGGCCTCCTGTAAAATGATAAGAGCTCTCAATTCCCATTAATTTAAGTTATTTTAAGTATCTATCTATCCATCCATCCACAGTTTATCTTTAGCACTTTTCACCATATATCCAACTACTGACTGGACTTAGTTTTGCCTCATCTCTACACCCTAACACATACATACATGCTGTCCAAATGTTCAAGTAAAACAGGTTATGAATTTCATATGATGTATTTAAGATATAGGATGCATTTCCCACACAGTATTTACAAAGGGTTATGGGTTTATCCTGGGAGGAATTCAGCAGTCAGGTCCTAAGCAAAGCACTTAAGCATATGAGTAGTCCTGTTAAATTCAACAAGAATAAAACATTAAATATGTGCTTAAGTGCTGGATCAGGATCAGTGTTCAGCACCTTGCAGGTTTGAGCCCATAGGAAAACACCTGTATTTTTAAAATGAACCCTACTTCATTCCAGTGCATAAAATCTCCATTCTTCTCATCTTTTATATAAACAATATCTGACTGATGTATACTCTCACTATCAGTCTCATTAAATGAAACACATTTTCCACAGGGTAAAAAAGCTCCATTTACTAATTTTGACCCATCAACTTTACTTCCTGGATCCTTGGATTACTGGACCTATCCTGGTTCTCTGACTCATCCTCCCCTTTTTGAGAGTGTCACCTGGATTATCTATAAGGAACCAATTACTATCAGTTCAGAGCAGGTATAGTACCACAAAAAAACCAAGACTTTTCTTCACAGACAAACTGGAGAATTGTATAATATTGTGCACTATGATATTTTTTTTTCTCCTTTTCAACATATAAGATAGTGAAAAATACCTTAAGGTTTTTTCTTTTCTTACATTTTTATGCCATTAAACTGTTGCCACCTATCATTCTAGAGGTGGCTGCATGTCAGTATGAATGAAGTCCTTTCTGTGTAAGTTTCACATATGATTTTTGTAAAGATCGTTTGAGATAAACACTGAGATCATTTATTAATAATCCCTTATTAAATGGTAAGGGATCTTGACACCTAGGCCATTTTAATGTACACTTGATAGAAGCTTGGTACAAACAATTTTGGCTAAAAAGCAGTTTTGTAAACCAAATTTGAATTAAACAAGGAAGTTTATCTTAAAGGCACTCTTCTGAGTTTTAACTAATAATTACCAACATTTTAAAAGTAAAACTTTAAAGGATGTTTGCCACATGGGGGGGGGGAGGTGGTAGGGGAACTCACAAAGTTGTTTTCTTTATCAAACTGATTTATTACACAGATGCATCAATGTCATCACTGAATATTTGATAGATTTTTGTACTTGCCAGTGACAAAGGTGATAAAATGCAATAAGTGGTCAGATCATTCAAATAGTCATCTAAAAGTATAGCTCCAGATTCATCACTGTGTTACTCAGATTTAATGCTGTCACAATTCCACTGATTGCAGTTGACTCTTTATTTCCATTTGTCAAGGGTTGTTTTAATGATGAGATTTTGGATTAAGAGCATGAACAAAAAGTACTAACTATAGAACCAGCCTAAGAAAGATTGCTTCTGCTTTTTAATATATGGTATTTAAGTTGGATGCTATGTCCTTTTCCACTCATTTAGCTGGCCCAATTCCGCAGCCTCATATTGACCAATCATCGGCTTCCCCAGCCATTGAAGGGCAGACAAGTGAGAACCTAATTCCAGGTAATTAAGAATTAGTCAGAAGTGAAATATTTTCTCAAAACCAATATGTTTAAACAAAAGGCCAATAACAATTCACAAAAATTATTTTTAAAAAGTGAATCTCTGGTTAAGATACAATGCTCATATCCTGCCATATGCTATTGCCATTGATTGTAATGTATTTACTGAAATGAATCTGTTTCTTGTGCATTGTGAAGCAAATGCATTTTAATGTGTGGCTTTTACTTTAAGTACTTTAAAATTTTTGGAATAATCTTTTTACTAAATTTATTAAATAACCTAGATATTGTGGTGATAAATAGCAAAATCCTTTGAATAAAGTAAGTCAGTGTTCATGCTTAGCTAACTAATCAAAGATTTCATTTAACTATAGTAAATGTGTTAATTTTTGCAAAGGAATCAGCTAAAGTTAGCATTAACAGAAGTATCAGTTGTTTGCACAATAAAAATTAATATTTGTCCTTTTTGCCTTGTAGGTGCTTTTTATTTGATATTATAAAAGTATTTTGAAACTGAATAGTACTATAAAAGTGCTAAATATTGCTATTTTCAAGGGAAAACATGTCGTTTGTTTCATTTACTTTCACTTGTCTTATTAGCACAACATGGAAACAGAAAGGTAGTCAATGAGAGAGATATTTACAGTATGAAGGAGAGCTCTAAGTTTAAGTGTAGATTTAAGTCACATGCTTCTCAGGCTAGTTGAGACTAAATTCATCACAAAGGCCAGATTTTGCTACTTTTACACAAGTACTTTACCCTGCAAACAGCCCCAGTGGAGTCAGTAAAACTACTGCAGTAAGACACTGCTCCGCGATAGTAAAGGTAGCAACATGTGGCCCAAACAGGACAGGATGGGACTGTAGAAGGAACAGGGTGATGCTTAGGAATAGATGCCAGATAGCCAGCTGGTGTGAATAGGCATAGCTTCATTAAATTCAGTGGAGTTTTGTCAACTTACACCAACTGTGAATCTTGCTTGCCATAATATTCATAAATAGCCAATCTAGAAAAATATGTACTAAAGAAAATCTTGCTAGTGCTAAAAATAGCCAGAGAATTCAATTTAATCATGGATAGGTTACATTTTGAACTTTCCCCATCAAGAATCTAATTTCTTTTGACTGGTAATTGTGTAATAGAACCATCCACCTTGGAGCATATATGGAACAAGACTGTACTGAATAGGTTTTGCTAAGCCATAACAAACAATTGGCTAAAGACTCACATAATGGCTGACGTTATCTTTTAGAATATTTAAAGCAGACATCAATGTATGTATAGCTACTACTTTAACATTTGTATTCCTTTGTTTCATTACAGCAAAACCAATAAAAAACAGTTGTAACTGCTAACAGGAATCTGTTTCATATATTATAAATTTTTAAATTAAATTAATGGAGATATCCCATCTCCTAGAACTGGAAGGGACCTTGAAAGGTCATTGAGTCCAGCCCCCTGCCTTCACTAGCAGGACCAAGTACTGATTTTGCCCCAGATCCCCAAGTGGCCCCCTCAAGGATTGAACTCATAACCCTGGGTTTAGCAGGCCAATGCTCAAACCACTGAGCTATCCCTCAAGTCTTGTCATCTTCAACAACTTTCTCAAAACATTCAAATGCAGTATTACTCTAAATACAACTGCTAGATACATCTATATTTACTCCTGAGGGAATTTCTGTGCCAAAAAATAAAAAAAATCTATGCACAATATTTTAAAATTCTGCACATTTTATTTGTCAATAAATGTGGAGGCTCAAGCATGGCAGTGGGGAACACAGGCCTCTGGCTGCACAGAGGTGGGAGATCACCCTGCAGCCCTCTCCCTGCCCCAGTACACTGACTCAGCAGTGAGGCTGCACCTGACCCTGACACAGCACAAGGGCTGGCCCTGCCCCAGAAATGCTCTGGGGCCCTGCCCCTCTTAAGGTTGCCAATTGTCTAATGGCACAAACGCAAACACTCTTGCCCCGCTCCCAGCCCTCAAGGCCACACCCCTACCCCACCCCTTTTCAAAGGCCATGTCCCCCCTCACTCCATCCCCCCCTCCCTCCATTGCTCAGGCTGGGGTGGGGGGTTGGAGTGTGGGAGGGAGTTTGGGTGGAGGAGGGGGCTCAGGGTGTGGGCTCTGGCAGGGAGTTTAGTTGCCAGCTGT